AGTGAATAGGCAGCCGTTCTCCCAAGGACACGGAACGATGCGGATTTTGCAGCGAAGAGTATGCCCCCATCGGCCTAGCAGTCAGCCTTACCACCTGACACTAACTGCTAGTAGGGGAATTAGCGTTTATGAGGTCAGCACCGATGAAACACGCCTGGCGCGTAAATCAGCGAATAGGGTCCTATTTCTTGGGTTTCACAATTTCTTAGTTTTTTTTTTCATCCCTGCATGTCTGACCACTTCTACATTGATTTCTAGAGGGCTGTCTATTGGTCGGAAATGTAACAAGTCGAAAGAAGGCGAGACTGCGAGGGTGCGGAAGTATGCGCGTTCTGCACAGGAGTATGAAGAGGCACAGCGAGGCCATACCCTCGCCGCGGCACGCCCGCCCTCTTGCGATCGACTCTGGTCGTTCAGCAGAGAGAGCGTTGGCTTGAAGAGGGAAGTACCAATGGGAGTCGCAGAAATGAACGGGTGAAAATGGCTCTCACTTCTCACTCTTCTTCTGAGGTGTTTCGCATGAGTCTTCTCCATTCCGGCACCATAGGCCACCTCCACCTTGACTTCCCATAAACCACCTTTTTATAGCAAACCCCGCCTTTAAGCCTGACAGCCATTTCGCTCTGCTCCAAATTTTGTTATTGTTGTTTGCGCTATCGCTGCCATTATTGTTCACTTTTTTTTCGAGAGAATATTTTGTTACAAACAGCCGTACTTTGCAATTTTGTTGTGTCTCATCTTCCACAGAGGTACTGAAACCCTAACTGCCAGCATCACCCCATCCGAATTGTAAACCGTCCAAAATCAGCGGGTACAGTGAGAGTACCAAAGTGCGGCTTCTTGACGGTTGGCTTTATATTCTTCTTCGCTATCGTACCATTTTGTGAAGCGTGGGCCGAAATTATGAGGACAGAATGTGCGCACGGTAATAATCACATTTTTCCGTCTCTCTCCATTCCCATCTCCCTTTCTGTGCTCTATGTGATAGTGTGCAATGTTTCCTTTCCATTGAGATAAAATATCATATAGTTCCAAATTAATGACATAGCTACATACAGGGGGGCCAAAAAAGAGTCACTCTCACTCACATTCAAAACAGAATTAATTACACTTTGCCGAAACCAAACCGAATGAGCTCAATTGCATATTGAAGAGCACATTCTATTCTATCAAAAAAATTACATAACAGCCTTCTACACCGACGACATCAGAAGATTTTCCCACGGAAACATGGTTCACGGTACGAGCTCAACGAGGTCGTCGAGAAACCATAGACGATTACGACGTCCCTGAAACGCTGGTCAAAAGCGGCCTTTGCAGTCAGAGCTAGTGTCTCTAAAAAAGTCATATCACCTACATAACTTC